TGAGCACAGAATCATAACATAAATATGACTGTTAGAATGTTATGTTTAAAACATGGACATACCTTGCTAGGTATTTTAATATTAAGCAAGCAATTAATTGTTTGATGGCTCAGTTAAACATCAGCAGAAAGGGTAAGTCTACATGGGAAATTTGGCAAAGACTAAGAAGAAGGAAGGAGATTTGAGACATTTTCTTTTCAATTTGCTCTCTGAATGAGGTAATTGGCACCCTCAAGATGAAAAATAATATATTAAGTATCTTAACAGCTTTCTTCTCTTTCCAGGAATAAACTAAGGCCTTTATCAGCTCTTCAGACAAAACACCATACATAAAAACCAAATAATCAACTAAACCAACTAAAGTCTACTGACTGCTCTGCTTTTCAGATGACTCAAACGGAATTCAATACTCAGCATGGATTTAACTGAACACTAGAGGACATAATTCCTCCAGAACATCTTTTCCTATTTGTCCTCCCTGATACAGCCTGGCCAGGCTGTTCCTTTTCTCTCTTCCGCACTACCCCAGAACCATGCTGGGTAGAGAAAATACAAATAGAGAGAAATAATATCTGTGTGGAAGAACGAGATTTCCCACTGACCTTCTCAGGAAACACTTGTTCTTTAGCAGGTATCAGTGCCGCCTTTTCCAGCACTGCTGACCCAGATATCTATCCTAGTTATTATTCTATTTATTTTTCTGTATTTTAATATTCCTTTTATCCTAGTTATCCTAGAAGAATACTGCAAGCATTCAGTCTCCCACTATTCAGTCTTCTTGCTTGGCCTTTCTTTCAGTCAGATACTTGGCATACCCCATGTTGTCTCCAGTAATTCTGATGCTATATCTGACTTATCTTTAAGCAGACTGCAAAAGAGAGGGAAAGGAACTCCAGCAAACAAATACCAACAACATTGGACTAAAAGACACTTTGGTGAAATGACTAACTTTATTCCAATACAAAATGCTCATTTTACATTTCTTTTCTGACTCCAAAAGGATTACAAATTAGAAGTCTTTATTCATTTAAATAACAGATTCTGCCACTCCTGAAATAACTGTTATGCAAGTTCTAGAGAATTATTTCTGAGAAGTACCTTGTTGATCTGTTACTCTCACAGATTAGTACACTTTCTTTCAGCTAGCAGATTACATTCATCATAGACTGTAAAAATTCCTACATAGTGCACTCAATGTATGCATTTTTCCAGTATTAAAGTAATTCTTTAGAACCTAGATGAGCACGACTCACCTGTTACAAAAGGTATAAAGACTATTTTGTATTTTCACACTCTCACCAAGAAGAATTCTTCTATAATTTTGTAAGATTATTTGTAAACTATTTTGAGTCAAAAAATCTCTTTTATTTCTATCTACTGGAGAGAAAGAGAAAAGAATAAACACCTGTATAAACTAGATCATATCTCTTTCAATGTGGCTTTCTTACAGTCTGCATATTTTGTGTATTCTGTCCTTTCTAGTATTAAGCAAGTCTTACTATGTGGACGCTATAATTTCCAGTGAAATTTTTCCTGAGATAAACAGAAATCTTTATGTTTTCTAACTTCTGTTTCATAACATCCAGTCTTGCTCCACCGTATGTAGAAAGCTAATACCAGATGTGGTGTTAAATAGGTAACAAATATCTCTTCATGTTTGAAATTCAGTCAACTTGATATTTAGCCAAACTGCATAAAAGTTAAATCACTCAGATGTTTTTTCAGGAGTCACTATGCAACTACTTTTAATGTTCTTCCTTGAAGCTCATCCAGTTTATCTTTTTAGTAATAGTATTTCCACAGTGAAACATAACATTCTATGCAAAGTTGCACTGCTGCATATAGAGAGAAACAGTATAATCTGCCTGTCTTCAGCTATACTGTCTCTGAGGATTTAACCTCAAACTAAATTAGATTTTATGCAGACATGTCTTATTATAAACCTTTGCCTAAAATACAACTGCACTATCACAATTATGTTTCATTGCTATGCTTCATTTTTAGAGCAGATACCTGAATTAATTGTCCTTTAGCAGATCCTATTATACAGATAGTATACTAATATACTGAAAGGATTATCCAATTCTGATACTTTTCTAGGCAAGCTAGCAAATCCTCACACCGAATAGTACTATTGGATGACACTATGTCCTGTGGCTTATTTGGAGGGTAACTTTGTAGGTGAGCTCACGCTTTTTTCTCACTGAGGATAACAACGTAGATCTCTACACACTATCCATTACCAAATTTCCACCAGCATTTAAAGAACGTAAACCCTCAAAACCTCGCTGAAATTGGTGAAATGGTTTAAAAGTTATTTCTGAAGAAGGAAATAGCATGAAAAAAATAGTAATCAGCATGATTATACAGCATCATAAAGCAGCCTAAAAAAATAAAGTACAACCTACTCTCACATCTTTAATTACCCCTTGCAACCAGAAAAGGTTTTAAATAAGTGAAATGTTATCTTATTTGCCAAGAGAATGAACAATAACAACAATAAAAAAACCTACACAGCTCATAAAACCCTGTCACAATATCGAGTCGTGCAATGCTCTTACAACACATGGCAGTACAAGTAGAAGCAGTGATCAATACTAAAACTGAAATCTGGGTGGCTGACTGGGTGCTCGGTGGACACAAATGAAGATCAAGGAATATTTTCTCCTCTACTGCAGGAGTGATGGGAGGACACAAGGAAAAATACTGACTCTAACTACCAGAAAATACAGAAGAGTTTCTCAAAATTCTGCAAAGAGATAAAATCTCATCTCTAACAGAGGGAAACTCAAATCTTACATAAGATTTATACTCATTGGTTATCTATCTATCACTTCAGAAGTAAACAATGATGCCATAGAAAGATCAAGTTAATACTCCAAACACCACAGGTCATCCTTAGATGATTCTGTATGATACCTGAGGGGTCTGCTCTTTCTCACAGTTTATCCAATAGCTTTCCAAATTAGTAAAGTTCTCAAGGAACTGCAATAGAATTCTATATTCAAGTTCAACTTCAACACTTACTTCATTCCCCAAAGTTTTTTCTAAAAATTTCTATATACAAACACAATTACAAAAACAGTTATCATAATCATAGCTTGGCTAAATTATGCTTAGATCTCTTGTTCTACTGTTCGCATGCCCCCTTCATAACCTTGATTTTTTTTGTGTGTGTGAAACAAAGAAATGGCAGGTTTACATGAAAGAAAACATCATTCTCTACACCTACTTCTGGTTTGCCATTTCTTCTAGGAGGGCCTTCAGGCAGCTGGATTATAAAGACTTTGCCACTGCTAATTTCAGGTAGATTGTTTTTGGTGACTTACAGGCTAGGAAAACCCTTCGGAATTCACCATCAATAACTTAAAGCAGCCAGATCCTCAATGTTTAATGTATTAAACATAAAAAAAGCATTAAACGAATGTGTTATTTCAAACACGCACATTGCTGAACTTTTTAATTGAAGGATATAACTAAAAGAACTGAATCACTTTTATATTAGAATTATGTATTAGTATGAAGTAGAATGAAAAAAAAAAAGTCACGATTACAAAGTAGAATTATATAAGCCCCTCTCTAAACATAAAACATAGTACTGGTATTATTTCATAATAACGCAGTTCCTGAACTGCACTAGCAGACTGATTCATTACTTGCTCTTACTAATCATCACTATATGTAGTCAACATTTTTGTGTTTAGGGTTATGTTTTCCCTAGCATCTGAGCCACTGCATAATGCCATATATCCAAATCTAAACAATATGCAGGCTCCACTTATTATTTTGTTTCTGTACTGTGCTGTTTGCTCCAAGAAAAGCGGGTTGCATTTCATACTACCTGTAACTATCACCTTTCAATTCCATAGAAAACAATTTTTGCCGCTCTAAAATGACAGTGTTGTCTTTCAGCTCTCTCTCCCCTTTCCTTTTCTCCCACAGAACTAATGCTGCTCTTGCTAGATATGCATTCCTAAATGAGGAACCTGCAGAGGTTGCAGGGACCTCGGGAGATAATGCAGTCCAACTCCCTACTGCTCCAACAAGGTCACCTAGAACACATTGTACAGGATCTCATCCAGGTGGGTTTTGAAGATCTCCAGAGAAGGAGCCTCCACGACCTCTCTGGGCAGCCTGTTCCAGTGCTGTCACCCTCGTGTTCAGATGGAACTTCCCGTGTCTCAGTTTGTGGCTGTGGTCTCCTGTCCTACTGCTGGGCACCGCTGAAAGACGCCTGGTCTCATCCGCTTTACAGCCTCAGGACACCGGTGGCCTTCTCGGACACAGGGCACAGTGCAGGCTCAGGTTTAACTTGCTGTCCACCAGCACTCCCACAATAGAGTGATCCCTAATGGCTGCTATTTATACATCACAAAACACAAAGATCTTAATACTCTGTCCTGCTCACATTTAGCTCTGTTTGTAAATAATCTGTGTATAAAATCTAACTTGTATAATTATATGCACTGTTTCCATTTGGCAGGGAACCTTTTGGACTGGAAATGCTTTCTATTCCAAG